GCTTTACACAATTGATGTGTGTATGGATTGCGATAACAGTTGTATGAGCCCCTAATAAAATGTTTAAAAATAAATAAATAAAAATAAAAATGTTGATAGTTTCTGATTATGAAAATATCACAATGGGAACAGAAGTGTTACAGATATCAACTGCGGCCTCCTGACGAACTACAGAAATGAGGTTCGCAGCAGCCTTGCCTAGTTTCTTCTTGCTCTGGGTACATGTGCACTGATATAAGTTAACTTTTTCTTTAGAAAGTCCTTGCCGAACTTCACAAGTTTGGCCTTCACGTAATACTGCTCAATGAGCTTGTGATTGAATATGGGGACTAACTAATACAAAGGACCTTCAAAAAGCTAGCAGGAAAATTCCAGTATTTTGTATAGCCAGTGATGGACACAATGATTCTTAGGACTGCATTTCTTCTCATTTTGAAAGGAGGATGAGAACTCTTCTCTAGTACCAAGGACAGCTGCATTTTAAAGGTAGAAACAATATAGCTGCTTTTTGTAGTGTGTAAGTTCAGATGTGTGTAACCAAAAAACCCAACCCATCGTTGTTAAGTTACTGTGCCTCACAGAGATCCCATATGACAGAGTGGAACAGCCCCTAGGGTTCCCAGGCTGTCAATCTTTATAGAAGTCGATGGCCTCCTTGTTCTCCCACAGAGTGGCTAGTGGGCTCAAATCTCCACCCCTGGCTTGGCAGTCAGGTGCTCGATCCACCGCACCACCAGAACTTCTTTATATGGATGCTGAGTAGGTAAAAAATTAGTTTGTTATTAATTTATTGTCTCTCAGCTCCAAAACGATCCCCGTTTTATCCTACTTTGTGCTGTGCTGTATCAAATACAATTTTTCTAAGCTCAAAGATCAGAAGGGATAGAATCAACATCCTCCAGGTGGAAATGCTCTCAGGTGACTGCTACATAAGGAGCTCTTGCAGTTCAATTTCAGGAAGATTAAAGACGAGTACCTGTGCTCCAGGCACAGCAATAAGCAGCTGAACCCCCTCCACAAAGGCTGACTGGCTCCAGAGATTAATCCCACCTACACAAGGGTTTCCCCCTCATTGTGTTTTGCATTTTAATATCCCCAAGGCTGCTCCTAGACACACTGAGTTGACTGCCTAGACCAGGGGGTGACAAGATTTTTTCCTCTAAAGGGCTAGACAGTACATAGGTTAACCTCTGTGATAAGGTCTCTGTCACATGTTCTTTGAACAAGAGCACAAAACCCCCAAACACAAAATTGTTGTCATCACGTAGACTCCCACTCACAGTGACCGTGCATCCCAGAGGAAGGGTGCTGCACAGGTGTTCACTGCTGGCATTTCAGAAGCAGATCACCAGGTCTTTCTTCCAGGGCACCTCTGGATGGACTTGAACCTTCAGCTTATGGCTGGCAGCCAAGTGCATTTGTTATTGGCACCACGCAGGCACTCCCTAGTTCAAGGTGGTCCATTTGCTGAGCTAGACCAACCCTTGGTGCCTAGACTGCTTTACCAAAGGAATCACTTTTACCGTTAGGCCTCTGGTTACTAAGTCTCACAGATTACAGGTGGTCTGTGCATAGCTTAATTTTCCCTTAAGCCTTTCCGTGAGATTTTGCAGAATGATCAGCTTCTCAGGAAAACACCATAACGAACAGAAATGTTAATGGTAAAACATATTAGAATTAACAACCTTGAAATCTTTTAGGCTGTGAAAATGACAACATAATTTGCAATTATAAATTAATACCTATAATACCCTATAACTAAGATCTAAATAACAGTCAATGGACCATAAGAATAAAACTTAGCTGTATTTATAACAAAATTCCTCACTATAATGATAATCACAAGTGACCTACCTGAGCACTTCTATTTCTTCTGCTGTGTATCTCTGTCCTTGAGCATCACACGACTGTGTAGTTACAAACTGCTGAGGTTTCTCGAGGAAGGGATTTGGTCCGAGTGGAAAATGGGCTCTCACTGGACCTGGCTTTGGTTTCGTATTTGCCGACTTGATTTTGTTAAGTGGCTTTGTCAAAGGCTCACTCAAGGCTTCTGCTCTGTAATTGAAAGACGCACAGAAAAGGATGTATGTGGTGTTTTCCCTCACATCTCGGCTTTCCAGAAAACAAAATTCTCCTGAAGAGCCAGTGAAGCATTCCTAATGCAAATGAATATATGAAATTCTGACAGATGAGTCAAGCTACCCTTAAGAAACTGTTGCAAACAATATTCCATTAACCACATCGCAAACTTACTGTACGTTAGGCATTATGACACTGGTCAAGGGATGCAAGAGTGTATAAAACATTCCCTACTCTCAAGTGCTCAGTTGTGGGAGACAAGTAATTGCATCCACAGTGACAGATGGGAGTGTAACATGAGAGTAAACAGTACAAGAACTCAATGAATGGAGTAGGATTTTTCTGAATGGGTGTGTCAGCGGAGGAGTAGGCATGCAGTCTAAGAAGAGTAACAGCATGCACAGGTGTCATTTCAAACCATGGGTGCAATCACTAAAAGTGAAACGGAGATGAAGTGAGACAAGAGGAAGGAGAGGGAGGCTCACTGAAGGCTCCCACAACACGCACGGTGACTTTGCTTGACTGAAGAACAAACTAAAAAGCAGAAGCACTTAACCTGAGTCCACATATGAGCTTCGAGACTCTAGTAAACACTGACATTACATATAGAAGAAAAGCTTTATGTACATCTGTTTCCTAGAAAAAGGACTGTAATTTTCAACAGTTCCTCCAAAGGGCCGATAACGGATGAGACTATTTCTCAGAACTTTCTCAGGGAAAATTCAAGACAGGTTACCTAGAGTCATACTACAAGTCATCTATGATTCTGACTCATGAGAGAAGGAGACATGGAGAAGACCACTATGGGCCAAGTGCCCACATCTTCCTGAACTGAGGGAAACAAACTGAAGGTGAGCAGATGATGAGGATAAAAGGGAAGGATTATTGTTTTATTTCAAAAATTAAAAAGGCTTGGGGTGAGAGAGACAGTTACCTAATCAAAGCCTCAAAAAGAGTCATTTTTATTAATCCATGCTATAAAAACATATTTCAACCTTCTCTTTTCCTCAGAACATTCCCTCACATCCCAAATTACGTACCATGTCAGGCATTTGCTAGGAGTGTGGCTACAGGATTAAACTAAGGCGAAATTCACTGTCTTCACAGCTTACTTACATTTGGGGGAATGGAGGTTAAGAAAGGGGACAGACATTACAACTAACACACAAATTAGCAAATTTCATATACCTTAGAAAGTGGTAAGCATGATGGGAAAGATTACAGCAGGTGGGATGAAAGTGCTGGGCGCAGGGTGAACTGTACACAGAATGTTTAGGACAGGCATCACTTAAATGTAGATATTGAGCAGAGATTTGAAGGAGGTACACACACGCCCTATGTGCAGTATGTGTAAAGCGTATGTGTAAGGCTGAAAGCAGACTCACTTTCCAATTTCTTTTATCAGCTTGAAAAATCACTGGAAGGTCTACTCTTTGGAAGTCTAATACTATATGACAGAAGGGAAATATGTTTTTAGAACACCGCAACCATGATTTTTACGTGTCTCAAAAAAGAAGTGAAATAGTTCTTGACTAATTGGCTACGTATTGAGATTAAAGCAGGGCACTTCAGAGGTAAATTCACGCAGAGGAAGATTTCATGTCTACTATGACCTTTACCACAAATGCAGACTGCTTCAGAGAACAGCACACACCAGCTATGCGAAGAATGATCCAAACTCATCACCCCAAACTCACCTATCCAGTGCCTGTCGAGCCAACTGTTTCAGCTTATTTTGAAGGGTTTTATCAGCAGTTTCATAAGACTTAGGAAAAAGAAATAGACATTTTTAAAGTTACTGTTTACTGTTTGTATTCCTCAGCAAGTTTTTCAATGTACCTTACACTTCCTGAAATTATGAAGTAAAAATTAAGCTTTATGTTCATCTTTAAAAGTGTCAGTAAAAAAAAAGCTGGATGCTCAGACACCCAACCAGAGCCCTCAGAGAGAAGTAACTCAGCATACAGACTTTGTATTGCACATTAGTAGAGCCCTATAAATCAAGACCACACTTTCTGTGTGGCTTACAATGACCTTTACCCAAAGAATTTTCTCTTTGTCTTTGATTTCTCAGAGAGAACCTCTAAAATCTTGAGAGTTCTCAGTGATTCTATGATGAGGGCTTCAGGCCTCATTTGCCTAACAGCTTATGCTAATAAGGTTACTCAGGCGGGCACTGCTCATAGCACAAAGATTCACCTCGGCTATCAATTTTTGGGTATGGGGAGCTTGATTTAGTCATGTGTGACTATGTAAAAAGGTCAAACTAAAGGTTGGAAACTGGCTGGCTGTTTCAGGGGCTTCCTGGCTGGTGACAGATATGGATGCAGATGAGAGAAAAGAGGTGCAGAAGCTGTATGTTGAGGGCTTGCCTAGACCTCCCTCTGTGCATCATTTGCATTTTTTCACTATCATGAAACTGTAATAAAATAATAGCACTCTCCACAAGTTTAGAAAACTTCTGGCAAATCATCAAAACAGAGTGAGAGGCAGAAGGTCAGAAGTGAGAAGGGCCGGGGGACACCCAAGCTTACAGATGTACATCTTGACATGTGTAACAGAAAATCCCCAAATTTAAAGGTTACAGGTTTGAAGAGAAGATGTGTGGGGACCCCCAAGATTCTATTTTGTAGTTGAGGTCTTGGACTGACTCAGCAGTCCGTGGGACTGTGTCTTTCTAATATATGAGCTATGACCTAGCTCTGATGGTTAGGGTCAAAAGAAAAAGTACTCTCTTATGCAGTTAGCACTAAAACTGAACTGAATTGCACTGGTTTCTTGATTTCAGGAGGTAGTAGAAGTGGGACAGGAACCGATTCCTTTTGCTTTTCAGACATTAAATAAAAAATACTACTTCTTGTAGCTAGTTAATTTTAGCCATTAGGGTATACAAATGTTAAAACAAAATACTACTGTAAAAAAAACTCCTTACTAACTCAATGTGAAATTTTTATCAAAATGTTAAAATCCCCGATTAACGGTCTACTTTCCAATGCTGAATGAGAGTAACCTAGCTACATTTATAGTAATTCTTTCCTTCAGTGAGTTGCTAGCTAAAATCCAATGCTAAGGGGAAAAAAACGTCTTTAGTGTAATTCCACACAATTTAATTTCTAGCTATACCTACGGTTTTTAGACAAAGGTCCACAGCTTCAGTGTACAATTCTATAGCATCTTCAACATTCTCTTTTTCATCTTCATCAAAAGCTTGTGTAACGAGGAAATGGGCTCGCTCTAGATCCAACTGATGTTTTGATTTCAAAGGGTCTGTATTCTTCGACTGAACTACGAGAAGAACGAAAGTATATATAAAAATGTAAACGTGCCCTGTGAACAATAAGCCATTTTAATACATTTCAGACATGCTTTACCCAAATCCTACACCTTTCAACTAAAAACCATGAAAGTAAAAACAGAACCTTACAACTAACTTTCCTGTTCTCATTTTAATCTTAATTTTTAAGACTATCTATGATTGTTTAACTCATACACAATAGACCTTAAATACTGAGAATACCAAGAAATGCATTATTTCCTCAATTTTTTTCCTCCTGCATTTCTCTACCAGTATCCTTTATTTACAAAAAACATGAGTTCTCTTCACATACATCTTCAAAAGCAAAAAAGTATGCAAAAACATGGGAAATGCCAAATCTACAAGAACTCCATTATGTTTTAAGATGATTTTCTAAAAATTCCCTTTAGTACAGAATGCCTGGCACGAGGCTTAGTCAAAAATTATTGCTACGAGTGGTCCAGTCTACCATGCATGGGTTCATTCCAAATAAAACGTGTTTAAACATGTGTCTGATTAATGGATGGCCGCAAACAAGTTCTCTCAGCCAGTAATGCCACCAGTCCTGCAATCAAAACAACAGCTGCCAAGGGGACATGCGGGGCTAGTTCAAGGCAGAACGGTCAGAGTTCAGCAGGTTTTAATGAGTGCTTTTGCGGGGAGGGTAATCTAGACTGATTTTCTCCAATGACAAAGGACTATCACAGGGACTTGTTAGGAAGAAATTGTAAGTGAAGATGGCATTGGTGAAAAGGCCAGGCAAATTGAATAATTTTTCTGCCATCCTGACAATGTACCCGCTTATTCTTCACAGGTAGCAAGCGCTGTTCTGTGAGAATTTCATAGAGACACCATATCACCCTCACTCAACACCCCTGATCTTGTCCTTCAGACTTTTTAGTTTTCCCAAAGTCAAACAACACTGAAAACGAACACGCCGGGGTTCATGGGGATGCCAGAACTGCCATTGGGATGGGTGTAAATGGAAGAGTGAAGAATTCTTTAGGGAAGGATTAGAGTGGTGGAAACATGCCTTTGGAAGTGTATTCACGTAGGTGGAAGATTATGTCAAGAAACAAAAGCTTCACATTTTGATATTTTTTGTTTACTAAAGATTTCAATGATTGTATAGCAACATAGTTTGACCTATCCTTCTATAATATCCTGGGTCCTGATGATACAGCTATTGTTTTATTTCCCATTCACCTGTGTTCAGAATAAGCATTACATATTTCTACTTGTTGAAATGTGTTTATGTTTGCTTCTAAAATAGAAGTTATTATCTGTTAAAGATATTTAAAGTTCTCTTACAAATTAACAACAAAAATACAAATAACCCAATTTAGACATGGACAGAAGAGCTGAACAGACATTTTTCCAAATATACAGAAGTGGCCGGTGAGTACTGAAAAGATGTTCAGTATCATTAGCCAACATGAAAATACATACAAAAACCACGAGGTATCACAGGAATCCCTGGTGGTGCAAGCAGCTAGACTACTACAGCACTTGACTGTGAAGCTCAGAGCCACCAGCCCTCTTTGGCAGGCCTCGAAAGGCAGCCCTGGTGATCTGCATCCAAAGGACCAGAGCTTTGAACATTCTAGGGAGCAATTCTCTGCACACACAGGACGTCATGACATGGAACTGACTCAAAGGCAATTAATAACTGCAAGATGGCTAAAATTAAAGAAGTCAGAGAACCGTGTAAGTACTGGTGAGGGTGTGAAGAAACTAGGAACCTCATTACTTTCTGGTTGAATTAAAAAATGGTACAGGTATTTCAGAAAGTAGCTTGGCCGTTCCTCAAAAATGTTGAACACTGAGTTTTATACACACACATATATAATACACACATACACACATACACACACACACACACACACACAGAGAGTTATCATATAGCCTACCAGTTCCATTCCTAGACATATATGCAAGAGAACTAAAACTAGGTCCACACAAAAACGTGTGCAGAAACAATCACAGCCACATTATAGCAAAATTGTGGAAACAACCCCTATGTCCAACTACTGATTAATGGATAAACAAAACGTGGTATAGATCCATACAATGGGATATTATTTGGCCATAAAAAGAATAAAGTACTGATACTTGCTACAATATAACCTAGAAAGCATGCTAAATGAAAGAAAACATAAAAAAGAACGTTATTCCATTTAAACAGAATATGCAGAACAAGTTAAATCCATAGTAAGAAAGTACATTAGTGGCTGAATGTGGGTGAAGCTGAGGATGGTGTGAAGGTGCAGTACTGGGGAATGATGGCAATAAATACAGAATTTGGTGATATTTTCAGAACTCTAAAATATTAAAAATCACTGAACTATATACTTTGGAAGGGCTAGTAAATTTCATGGTGCATGAATTCCTTATCAATAAAGTTGTAATTTTAAAAAATTTATTAGTTGTTGTGAGAGGTGGCCTGGTGGCAGTGGGTTACACGATGGGCTGCTAACCACAAAGTGAACAGTTTGAAACTGTCCGCACTCTGTGGGACAAAGACGTGGCTTTCTATTCCTGTACAGAGTCACAGTCTCGGAAACCGATGGGGCACTTCTGCCCTGTCCCGTAGGGTCGCTATGAGTTGGAATCCGCTCAATGGTAGTAGAGGATTATTGTGGAGAGCTGCCCTATGTATTGCAGAATGTTTAGCGACAGCCCTGGCTTTTACCCAACTGGAGGTTAGCAGCATCCCCACAGCTGTGGAAACCAAAAAAATTTCCAGACATTGCTAACAGTCCCTTGGGACCCCAAGCCACTCCTGTTGAGAACAACTGACACAGCCTGATGTTTCATAAGCTACAATGGCAGGGTAGGGACCCAACTCAGATCTGCTCATCCCAAGTCTTGAGCTCTTTATAATACAAAGGTGATTTTCAAACTGTTACCGTACCCCACCCAGAAGTAAATTCATCACTATTATCTTATGTTGTTTAAAAGTAAACTCATCTCTTGACTGTCAGGAAACTTTATCGGCTGTAAAAACTGGGGTTCTGAACAAGATTTTATTTAAAAAGGACTCTTCTGCTTCAGTTAAGAACAAATGAGTAAATGGCAAAACAAGTAAGGGACTCAGTGTAGTGGTTAAGTGTTCGGTTGTTAACTGAAAGGTGAGGGTTGAAAGCACTGAGGCTCCATGAGACAAACGAGGCTTCCATAAAGATCTGCAGTCTTGGAAACCGTAAAGAGCACTTCTACTCTGTCCTACAGAGTCACTACGAGTCAGAACAGACTCAAGGACAGTGGGTGTGATTCCATTAGTAGGATCCCTGGCACGGTGATTAAGCACTTGGCTGTTGACCCAAAGGTCAGTGCACAGTCAGCAGCCACTTCCAAGGAGAAAGATGAAGCTGTCTGCTGTCATAAAGATTACAGTAGTCTTAGAAACTCTATGGGGCAATTCTACTCTGTCCTATAGGCTGCCATGAGTCAGAATCGACTCAGCAGAAATGGTTTCTTTAATGAGGATGCTTTACAAATTCTTATGTTTGTTTCACTGGCATTGAGTTTCAGCATTTAGTCTAGTATGTTTCAGAAAGAGATTTCTATGATAGTTCAATGTCTATAATTTTTATCTCTCCATACTTAAAGGCCTCCTGAAGGCAAGGGCTGTTGCTCATTGTTCTATCACTCAGTACTACCATCTAACCCAAACATGCACTCAATGAACAGTCGTTGAAATGAAGAGAATTTGTATAGAAAAAACAGGGATATCATGGAAGTAAGCATAAAAGATTACTTTATACTTCAAAGATCATTTTCTCTGTAAACACGGCTTATAAAATAAGGTTTCCTGACTATCATTGGAAAATTTAAGAACTTCATTTGCTTGACCAGGAAAACAAAGTTTCTTTGAATTAAATGAGGGTTAGTTAGATACATTGGTAGTCCACATTTCAGGACTTTTAATTTCTGGGCACTGTTTTAAAGTGAACTATTTGTTAAAGAGATGAACATAACAAGAAGCCCAGTGATCAAGTCTACCTTATTCTAACTATGTGCTTACACCGGTTCCCATTATTCCGACATTGGTGGGAAGCAGCACAAAGTCTACCAAGGCAAAGCTACATAAAGTAGAAATTCCTCTAAGCTTCTTGTAACTATTAAACAACAATAGAGGGGGGAAAAAAGGCCAAAAAGAGCTCTTGGAGCGATGTTGACGGTGTTAAACAAAATGTCAACAGGTGATAATTTTCCTTTTTACGTGTGTGAACAGATCTTGACATGACATGAACCACTTATTCAAGCTAACAACTGTTAAACCTGTATATTTCTATCAGAGTACTTGCCATGCTGTTTACTAAAATAAACACAAGTTGTTCCAGGTCTCTGCTTACATGTTGCTTAAAGTTCAGCTAAGGTCTTGGTGTAGAACAGATTAAGGCTAAAGAAACTTTTAACAATGAGATGGAAGAATCACTTTTTTTTTTTAAAGGGCACTGACAATATATGCAAAAAGCAGGCTTTAATGGGGTCCCAATCCTGTCGCTCCTACTGAGTGATTGTTTAACTGTGGACCACCATTTCTGGGCCCAGGGGAAATATAGCAACTGGACTATATTATTTGTAAGCGTGCTCTTTACTGATTACTCATTTCCATATATTCTATTATCCCAATCACAAGTCTGTTAAGGATGTGCTTATCAAAGGGGAGGAGCAGTGAAGAGTGAGGACCAAGACCTGCAGGTAAAGAAGAAGAGCAAGGACACAGGGTAAGAGAGGAAGAAGAGCCAAAGTGACAAGTTCGGTGTTCCTTTACAAACCTGCTGAATGTAGAGCTTGAACTCTTTCCAGATACTCATTTATTTTTTCCTGAATACGTTCTAGGCTAGAGCCTGCCATTTCAGCATAAATTAAGGCTTGTGCAGCTTCCTAAGAAAAAAAAGAAAGAAAGAATTAAAAAGACATAAAGGAAACCAGTATTAAAATTTGAACTTACTTTACTACTTTCTAATTCATTATTGGTTTTCATAAATAATAAAATAATGTCTAAATAATATTTAACATATTAGTAAAATGTTTCAGTCATATAATCCCCTAATACTTTTTATCTAGTTCTTAATACTGTCAATTTCTCATACTGTTGAAACTTTACGAATTCAAGTATGAGAGACTACAAACATTTCCTTAGAATTGTGGTTTATATGCTTTTTGTTTTCCTTTATTCTTAGGCAATACATCAGAGTTAGATATCCCAAAGATAACATGCGCTTTAAAGGCATTAAAAATATTAACAACAACCAATGACCACCACCAGTAAAATCAAGCTAAATATTGGGAAAAGATTATAAGAAGTTATAAAGGTTAAATATCCCGGAGTGGAAATATTTCTGTCCTACAAGGAGTAAAGACTGTTGACGAGAGATGCATTTTAAAGCAGATTTTTCGGAGTAGCGGCATCTTTTCTGCAGTAACCTGAGCGTGGACTTTTGGTGAGGCTCATGCCTAACTCTCTGAATCCAAAGAAGCCATGTACTAAATACAGCTTTAAGAATCCAGTTATTTGAGCAGGCGTCATTCTTTCATTGAACCTTCATATATCCAGTAAAAGGCAATGGCTCAAATAGAAATAAAGGCTGCAGGTTCAAAAGATATGAGGGGGCTCCAAAAGGTTAAAGGGAAATGGAACTAAAGGATAATGGAATTTTTCCATGATCTTTTTGAAGTCTCCTTGCATTTCTTCAGAATCTATGATTCATATGATTCCTGGGAAGGAAAGCATACTTAACTTTAAAGGTGAATGTTAAAATTTATTTAATGCATTGTCATTATCTAAATACATTATGACAAGCTGAAGGATGGACACACACACGATTCAGACTCAAGGTGGCCCCTGGTGTTAGAGAGAAATGTCCTCCATAGGGTGTTCCCGGCTGTAGTTTTTATAGAAATATATCACTACAGTCTTTCTTCCACAGGGATGCAAGGTGGGTTTGCACTGCCAACCTTTAGGTTAGCAGTTGAGTGCAAATTACTTGTGCCATCCAGGAACTTCCGGGTATGTTGAGGATTGAATCCACCCAAAAGTGCCTCAGAAGAAAAGTCCCTAGTTCTGAAAAACCAGTCACTGAAGACCCCGGGAGTAAATTCTGCTCTGACACATATGAGTCAGACACAGCCCAATGCAACTGGTTTACAGATTAGGGCCAAACCCAAACACCGACACTCACTGCCACTGCATGGATTCCAACCCACAGGGGCTCTCCCTACGGAACAAACAGCTGGTCCTGGGGGTTCCGACATTGAAACTCTTTATGGGAATTGAAAGCCTTGTCCTTCTTGAGGGGAACAGCTGGTGGGTTCAAACTGCTGACCTTGTGGTTAGTAGGCCAACATGTCACCCACCACACATTAGGGCAGAAAACACCAAATGTTTATATAGAGTTGCTCAAAGACCCATTTTTCTTACCTCCTGAAGATGAATACATCTTCAGGACACGCAGGAGGCGAAGCACAGTCCCGCCTGCTGCTTTAAAACAGTTACTGTCCAGTGGCACCACTTTAAACTCTGACCTTAGGATTTGTCAAAGCTATTTCACAAATCTAAACCACACCTCATTTTATTTCAAAATCGCTCATGAAAGTATTTTTGAAAGTCCAAAGGGAGGATTCTGAAATACATTGTTTCAAATATAAAGTATGTGATAAAGAGAAGACATTAATCTGAAAAAAGCAGATTACATGTTACTGGCAGTATATTCATTTATGGGGGGAAATTTTAAAACTGTACATTATGATCAAAGGCTGACTTTTTTCCCCCTAAAAACAAAAAATGTTGTGACATTAGCATGAGGGTACAGTTACTCCCTGCAAAGGAGTAGGGGGCCTGGCTGGAGCTGGGGGGCTGGGTTAGCAAATCCTTAGGGCTGAAGCTAGGAGTGTGGAATTGGAACAT